AAACTGTGGGAACTGCCACCAAACAGGGTGAGACATAAATAACCACTCAAACATTGAAATAACATATAAATAAACACAGAAACTAAGGACACGGATGAACAAACTTGAAGAAGATTGAAACGTATTGCTATTGTGCTTTTTGAAAACTTGTTAGGCTAGCTAACAGTTTTTCAAAGTTCATTTTTGTTGTTTGAAACGTTTGACATAATGCCTAGGCGACATGTTTGACACGAAGCTGTGATTTTTTCATTCATAAGTCATTTCTTAAGTCTCAACAGTGAATAAGGTACCCTGGGTACCAGAGGTTTTTCTCGCGCGCGGGTCACTATAAAGACTTGACAGAAACCGGAAACCGCGCTAGAAAAGTCTCTGGCACCAAGGGTATGAATAAGGACGAGTACTGCTGTAATTGGCATTGTTCACAAAATGAACTTGGCCCCTTTAAAAAGCTTTTTTTTTAAGTAAGGACGACAGATCTTACCATCATGAAGTGTACTTGCCGCTCGATCGTGTAGAAGTGATCCAGCAGTAGTTTGCTTTTGGTACAGAAACCTTGTAGATGACGGCTGTTCTGACACGTGACTTCCGGTTGTTGACTGGGATTTTGGAGATGTGTTAGTTATTGGTGGTATTTGTGTCATGTGATTGACATTCGTGGTCTGGTATGCAGGAGGAGACCTCGAAATCTGAGTAAATTTGTCTGTAATGGAACTTTCTGTAGAAACTGATGACACAGGAGCCAAAGTCGTCGGCTGCTGGAATTTTTGATCTGTAACACACGTTTGGTAAGTTACATCTCTATCTAATCTAAATTTTTAATAATTCAAGGCACTCGCATTTAACATGTTATCATCAACTTGAAATTTTTATTTACAATTCGATCGCGACACCTTCGGCAACGAGAAAGTTGACGCACATGGCCGAATTTTTTGAGATAGCCAGGCTTTGAACAACACACCATTTCCGGTTTCCTTTTCGGCAGTCAAGACGTGGGAAACTCCAGTGTGTGTAGGAGTATGTATAAGGAGAGAGTCCTACATACCGACCTTTAACATGAAGGGTAACAAGTTGTGAGCCGATCTCGTGCACTGACGTCCTGACAAACGCTTGATAGAAACCATCATCGACCCGTGAAACGTTCTGCAGCAAGAGGCTCCCATTAGCAACAACAGATAGCGTTGGTCTTGACAAGGACAAAACGCTGACTGCATTGTGATACCACATGACGTCACCAGTTGAAGCACGACAGTCTATTGTAACATTTGAGCCCACAAGGGGTCGAATAACTGATGGAAACTCGGATTGGATTGACGGAATGACTGAAATACAAAGAGATGACGTGTAAATGCAAGTAAGGAAGTGTGGCGCTGTGAAACAGGGTTTTCAGCAATTTATATAATGAAATGTCTATAGAAATCAGGAATAGGCCCTTTCCGAGTCGTCCCAAGCCTCTGTTTCAAAGCGAGGCTACGGGCGAAGTCATCACCGACATGTAAATGATTTTTATTATTCTCAGGTAAATGAAATTCAGTATCACAAGAAAAGGTTTGCCCTTAGCCTCTTTCGAAAGAGGGGGTTTAAGTATCGAACACGGAATTTGCCTATTGTTCCAGACCCGGAGTTCACGTACTGCAAATTGTCTATTAGTATTTATCTTTCTGCCACCTCTACAGGCTTTTCCAAGGATCGGTGGGAAACACGCGATTCACGAGAGCTGGAGACAAGCGAGAAGCCCAAAAGGGGATGATGGGAACGAGCGTGGACCGCGAGCAGGGAGTGATGGGAAGGAAAATGAGAGAGAGGGCTTTTTCTCCGCTTCCCATCACTCCGTTCGTCCAAGCTTTCCTTAAGTTATCCCCCAAAAAAGTGATCGCGAGCCACTGGGGAAGAGGCAGTTCATCTTAAAGAAGTCTGCCTTATATGGAGGAAAATGAATGACTGAAGAACGGCAGATACTAATCTCTTGTCACGGCATTTTGACTGACCATTTTATCCTATTAACGATTTTGGCTCGAATTGAGAATATCTGTCAGGTCCCTCAAACCAGTGAGCAAAGCCAAAAGCCCTGAAATGGAATTTTTGACTTTTCAGTGATATTTGGTTCTCCTTGATAATGCGTTATGCACGGAGCGGAGCTTCCATTTTCATGTGAAAATGTGCTCTAAAATGTATCTAAAAATAGACCGGTGGTGAAAACGCTGTGACTGGTATGGGAGATGTCACTCCCTATTGTGGGCTCCTAATGGTGTACAAACACACCTGGTTTATTATGAACAATAAGCTGAGTCTGAGAGGAAGTGATGACAGCGGACTTTGTTGTAGCTATGCAACAGTACAAGCCAGAGTCACTGATGTGGGCATTGTTTATAACAAGTTTATGCTTGGCCGTGCCTCCGCTGGGATGGGAGTACCTCGGATCACTGTTAGGGTCTAACTCCGTGTCAACCTTGTGCCACGAGATTACGGGAACCTGCAAGCTGGCAAAGGGAGCAAAAGTTAAACATTGTATTTGATGTCTCTACAAAGGTTTATTATTGACTGTGTTGATACATACACCCTGAGTGTTTGGCTGTTCAGACTAGCTTTATAAACGCCGTTAGACATTTGCTGAGCATGCAGACACTATTAAGAGGGGCTATGTCACACACTATTCTATCGTTTTAAAAACTAAAACCTTTTTCGCATCAACTGAATTCCAAAAATAATGGTCCAGTTAGGACCAATTAGGCATTGAAACTGTTTCATGTCGTCTGTTGCAACGAATGGCGAGGATGGACATGGATTGCCCAACTTTTCAGTTCAAGTTCTGACTAATGCTATACCTACATGTACACGAATCACCAATGATTAATAGTTATGGTAAGTGCTCCCTGATGAATTTTGTTTGATATTCTTCTAACCTCTAATTGACCATTTTGTGTATGGGTAATGATTTCAGCATAATTTATGAATTTCACTGCCTACAAAGCAGTTTGACCGTCTTTTGAAAGAAATCATAGTGTTAGCTCATCCCACACTTTGTTGTTGTATGATATTTAATTTATTATCATCAGACTGACTGAGAAAGACAATAAAGCTGGTGTTTGCGAAACAAGGTTCCAACCGCTTACCTGCCACGTTCAACAGCAGGTCCCACAATGCACTCCAACACCACTGGGACGTCCCCTTCAGTTGCTTTTGTAGAAACGGGTTCCACGAGAAATGACAGCGGTCGATCATGAACTTCCACTGGCAACAAAAGGTCGATTAATATAATATTTTAACTGGCCTGGGATGGTCCATTTTAAGAGGTGATTGGTGGTGCATGTGCAGAAACTATAATTGGCTAGATGCCTTGTGATCTTGATGTAGGTATAGTTCGATGTCTATTTACTCTTGAATTGCGTCATTGTTGTTGTTGTTTTGAGCGGGGGAGGGGGGAGGAATAAAATGGGGATAGAAAAGTTATACACATAAAACAGTTAGTCCGCTAATATGGGCTGCGAGACACCTTGTTGCAGTGGTGGACTGTCTGGTATTTGTATACTAATTCATCTCAAGTTTTAATTTCAACGTCTCCCAAGTCTTTTATTTTTCAATTTTTCATAGCTTAAACACCCCCCCGCCCTCCCTTCATTTTTATTTATTAAAAACATCCATAAAATCATCCCAAAATTCTCAAACATTCACTGAACCAGTGACTCCTACCCATTTAAGCCATTGTTTGATTGACTGAAATCCTGGCTATATTTGGAGGAAAAAGGGCAGAGATATACGAAAAACAAGGCTTTTCAGGTCAGAATCCCAGTGAAGGCTAGAGGGTGAAGAGTACAACTAGTTTGTTTTAAGGTTTTGTAAGGTCCCTGATGTTATAGGTTTCCTTAAGGCATCTAATTAAGTATTTAGAAAACGTTTTCCGTGTTTGCATAGCCTGATATAAACACTCCAGGGGTTGGGAGAATTCGAGACAGTTATGCAAACCCGAGACGAAGTCGAGGGTTATGCATAACTGTCGAGAATTCTCTTACCAGTCGCGAAGTCTTGCACGCGTCAAATCAGTTCCTGGTTTGCAAAAAGATGCTTTTCTCGCTTAAAATGTCATCTCAAGCGAAAACATTGACACAGCACGTTTGTAAATTAACGATTTTCCAAGTTTCAGCCAACGAGGGAATGGGTAAATGAAATAAACTTGTCGAGTTTTCCGCTCAAAAACTTTTTCAAATTCGTGCTTGCGTGATCAGCGCGCGAAAACCAAACCATCTTGACGTCACAACCATGTTCACATACTCTTCTGCAAGCACGTTTCTCGGCCAATCAGAGCGCGCGTACTATCATAATTAGTTATTTTATAAAGCAGCATCTAAAGGTTTTTCAAAGAGAGTACCTTCATTGACATTTAGTAGAATGTTGAAAAGAATTTGTTGTTTCGTAACCGGATTCGTCACAACACATCTGTAGACCCCAGTATCCTCTCTTCGGACGCCAACTATGTAGAGGTCTCCACTTTGCGAGATGAGCAACCTGCCATTTTCACCATCCACTATCTTTTCATACGTGGTGCTGTTAATTCCTCGAATTTGCCATATAAACTGTGCTTTGGGGAAGCTTTTCACTGTGCTTGTAGGAAATCTCACAGACGAGTAAACCTCAGTGGTGATGGTGTTATCGAAAGGTTCGCGGGAGTGAAGGTCTAGGAGAGAGAAACGGAAAGAAAAAAAGAAGTCAAAAGGATTTAATATGAAATAAAACGAAACCGTAAAACAAAACAACCAACGCGTTTGTTATGATTAGTTAATGCATGGTTTCCTTAGTTCAGCGGATAACAGTAATCAATCTTAACTAATACTTGTCCTGCCAAATGATCCTAGAAGACGTCGTTTTTCGAAACATTCAAAATACTTTTTATCTTGAGATCAAGGTTAAGAAAGGATCACAACACAACCACAGAGAACTTCGAAACTAGTCTGTTGTACCAGGGCTCCTGGTTGAACATAACTGTGAATTTATCGAAATTCTGTTTATCGTGAAAAGTAACACGGACAAGAAGAGTCACTTAAACATGCGTAAAGAAAGAACAAAAACAAGCCCAAATCGCTTCAAATTACGCAAAAACACACAATTGTTGTTAACCATTTATAAAAAAAAAATTCCGGAAATTTTGGTTGGGAATTTTCGTTCGGTAAGAACTGTACGTATCGTTTACCATTTGCCTAAAATGTCCGGATTGTCGAGCCGCGCTAGACTGGAGTCTAGTTACAACATGAAACTAGTACGAAACTCAAGAAACTTGTAAATGGTAAACGAATTTCCATTCGGAACGTCCCAACCGGGAAAACGGTACTACCTTTTCAGAATTTCCGTTTATCCAGGGAATTTTCCAGTGGGACGAACCAAAAAAACTTTTACCATTTACATCCCAACAGGAATTTCCGGGAATTTGTGGTAAATGGTGAACAACCAATGTAACACAAGTAAGTTCATTTAGACATTTTCTTCACCAAAAGCTAAGATCAAAGGCGGTTTTATTTCATTTTCTTTCTTTTTTTTTTTCGTGTCCCTAATATATGAACCTATAAATTGTTGCGTTACGGAGTGCTACAAGATTATTTTCAAGCGCTCACATTAAGAGAGTTTGGGGCGCTTGTGCTAACAGCTGTTTACATTAAGCAGATAATCGCGGGAACGTACCCTTCCGATCACCAACCGATAAAAAAAGCAGTGATAAGCAACCGGAACACCCAGAGAAGTCGACCAAAATGGGTCCAAAATCATATATTGACTTTATCTCGGAAAAGACGATAAACAAAGCCATTGGTTAAACCTTTTCGTTTTAACTTTCATAACAGCCGAACCTTATTTGACATGTTTAGACTAGCTAGTCGGCCTTTCAGTTCTTTTTGTGTTTTAAAAAGCGATATAACTCTAACCAAAGCTTGTATTGCAATCAATAATGCGTATGCACAAAACCGTCGCGCTTAGATGAAAAGATATTAGCAACTCAGATGAGGAAGCTAATTGGAAGTATGAATAGACTGATTACGGTCAGTTTGTTCTTTTTAATGAAGCCGTATTTCATCATGTGAAAAACGTTGAGAAAACTTCTCAGCCGGTTTCTGAAGTGCAGGATAGTAGAATGAATAATATATGCAAAGAAAAACAGGGAAACGTTTCAAAAAAGGAAAGCACTGCTCATCTAGCTACATGTAATCCGATAAACGCTTTGGACCCGCTCCAATAGGGAGCAAGGCAATACTTGTGGAATAATAGCCAAATATTATTATTAATCTTACGTTCAAAAAGCTGAAAAAGAGGAAAGAATTACTGAAAATGTAACTCTGATAGAAAACCTTTGATTATTTTATTGTGCGTGTATCATTAGTTAGACGTTATTGTTACTTAAATGTAAAAGACCTTTATTGTAAACAGAACCGATTACTCCTTATGCGCTATAATGGGACAATGTTTTCGTCATTGAAGAAAGTGCGGATACGGTCAGACTGTAGTGCAGCGGATATTGAGATAACTATGATTCAACCAAAACAGGAAACGTTACGCTAAAAACAGGAAAAAGTAACAAAGGAAATTACCACCTGTTTAGTTTAATCTGTTGATCGACAGAAAGGGTTCACGACACTTCGAAACGATACAAAACAGCTTATAGGTCTTGTTTAGTTCACTATAGGCTTAACCAGTAAGCACTCGTCCGCTGTATTTCGAATTGCACAGACATTACAGACATGGCGGTAACAAACGCTAGTTCTGCGGAACAATTTTGCTTGGAGGTGTTTTCTGTGAAATTACATGGCGAGTTGATCTTTCTTGCAGTGGTAAATATGTTCCTTTCAATTACTGCATTTCTGGGGAATACTCTGATTCTGGTTGCGCTACACAGAGAATCTTCACGTCGTCCGCCTTTTGCTTCCATAGTACTGTATCGTAACCTAGCAATAACGGATCTCTGTGTTGGTATATTAGTGGAGCCAACGTATATTGCCTATTTGATGTCCTTGATGGGTAAAAGATATGCTATTTGTCATTACACACGTATGATATGCTTTTTAACAACAAGTGTACTATGTGCAGTTTCTTTTCTGACATTGACTGCAATTAGCGTGGACAGACTTCTCGTTGTTTTGCTGAGGTTCAGATACAGACAAGTTGCAAGTTCTAAACGAAAAGTTATAACTGTTATTGTTTTCTGGATATTATCCATCGTTGGAGCTTCACAATACTTTTGGGATCCTGTTTTAAAAGCGTGGCTGTTTGGCAGGACAATAACATTTCTTTGTGTGATTACCTCAATTTTCTCTTATACAAAAGTATTCTTTAACCTTCGTCACAACCAAGTTGATGTTCAGAACAGCGCTGCTCGAGGACAATTAAGCCAAGCAATTCCAGGGAACATTGCTCGGTACAAAAAGACAGTATACAGTGCACTGTGGGTGCAGGCAGCATTGCTCTTTTGTTATCTACCCGTGGGTATAGTGGTAGCACTTACACCTCAAAGAGGGCCAGTGCCTG